TAGGGGAGGCCGAGGACCGGTACAGCTACTCGTGACTGGTGTTGAGCGAGAATGGAACTGGTAGCGCAGCGCACTAACCACTACACCACTGCTCCCACAAACACAGTCTCACACACACAACAACAACAATCACCATTCGACATTAAGTGGCGGTGACGTCACCACGACGCTTGTGCCAAGCTATGTGCACGTTGAGGCCACGTGAAGTGTCGAACAACGCCCGCTGGCAGGAGGTCACGGGGCAGACCCAGGTGCCACAGGTCGACTGACTGAGATGACTGAGATGACTGGCCGATGCACCACCTGTGCCCCCTACTGTGCCAACTTGCTGTGCTTTAGCCACCCGGCGCTCCGCTCGTTGCTGTGAGCGTCGCTCCTCTTCCCTCCGTTGTTGTTGGAGGGCGACTGCCTCCAACTGCCGAGTAGCGTCCTTCACGAGCCTCGTCCACAGAGGCCGATCTTGACACCGCTGGTACCAGTCATCGGCAAGTCCACTCAGCTCCACGGCCTCTTGTACCACATCACTCCATCTCTTCTCTAGCCCGTGTCCACTCTCTTCACAATTGCCACCCAACATCACACGCACAATTATACACACACACAAAAATCTTCGCGCACTACCTTCACGTATATATTTATTCAACCCGAAAAACTGCCCGCCCCTTACGGATGTCCACCCCTACCAGCGGAGCTCTTCATCATCACCAACGATCACTCAAACTAAACAGACCACAAATTACCGTAAATTATCTCCCCCCGATCCCTCTCACGTTCTCAACATTCAGCTCGCAACAACAGCGCGCGTCCGCCCAGGGCCACTTTGTACACGTGCAGCCGTCAGTATGGGGGGAGCGGTGGGAGAGTGATTAGCGCACTGCGCTACGAACCCGGATGTCCGTGTTCATTTCCCAACTGTGGCTTTAGCCTCCGTGTACAAATGACAACCGAATACGTTTTGTCGCCCGTCCCCTCCGCCTCACCAACCCACGCTTGAACTGCGTGGTGAAGTATGCTCAATCACACCACGTGCGTTGAGAGGCTTTCCTGTAGCAGTCCGTGTCCCTGCCCTGCGACGACCTTCTCTGCCCCTACCACCCATTTCCGCGACCTTCCTTAGCCTTCCTTCCCTGAGAAGGCTGACGCTTCGGGCAATGACTCTTCTTCAGAGCAGAGAAATAGCAACGATTGGCTACTGTATGTACTTTGAGATCGTACTTTGCATTGTGAGGCCAAAATAAAACTGGGAAATGTTTTAAGTTCATGAAGGAACAATTTGAATACTGAACTAAGAGTTTGTTTATTGTTACTTGAATAGCTCTTGTATATTGGCGTACAAAACGTTGGCAACTCAACTAGATGGTTAATCGCAAATATTGTTACAAAAAGTATGTAGGAAGCAGTGAATACGATTATGAACACATTTTCAGATCTGTTATTTAAATTAACAAAAAAACGTTATTACAAAGTAAGGAATTCCAATTTATACGAGGTCACGTGATAATATACCGTAATGTGTGTGCATATGCGTGGTTTTAATTTAGTATACGGCGGAAGATTAGGGATGTTTCATCCAGCAGCGGATCGACCACGGCTGCGGCTGATGATGATGATGATGGCCCAAATTTCGACACACACGACGTACCCAGCTAAACAGTTCGGGGGGGGGGGTCAAATTGTTTTCGTCCCAAGAGGACTAAGTCGGAAATATGTTTTCCCAACTCTGGTTTTACTGCATCCACTACATCCAGAAGATGAATATATTTATAGCAATTAATATAGAAAAAAAAATGTAACATTCAGAATTACTACTTATTATATACAATTTTACTTTTCGCGGGGGTGGGGGGGGGTGGCGTGCTCCCTCCCCTCGTCACCCCCTCTCCTGCCTCGTGCCTTCAGTTGAAGATAAGAAGCTCCCAGGACGCGGAGCGAAACGTCGGACACTGAGTAATGCCGGTCAACAACACCCACGCAACGATCAGTGAACTTCCATTCACTTCGATGAAGTCACCAGAACGCCTTTGTGTTGTTGTAAATAGGACCACGCATGTGCACGTAGCGACACGTGAAGGGTAAAGGACACACACACACACACGAGGGTAGCCGCGGTGTTAAGATCATCAACTCGTGTTTATTCTACACAGCAGCAGGAGCGGCATCAGCAGCGGCGGCAGCGGCATCAGCAGCAGCGGTAGCAGCAGCAGCGGCGGCGTGGTTCCACGGACGGATGTCAGTCCGCACGCCAGAACTCAGACGGACTAACCTCCTCCCTACACCTAACACTGGTCCGGTACTTTAATATCTAGATTAAAGCAACGCAATTTCATGAAAACAATGAAGAACGCTCACCATTGAGTCGCTCTTAACATCGAGAGAGGAAGCGCACACACACACACGCACACACGTCAAGCCCGTTACACTGTAAACATTGTGATCATCCTGAGTAAACACTTTAACGGTGGCACGCGCGCAACGCCGAAGCCTGTTCGGATGTACTCTGTGCGAATGGGTGCCAGACAAAGGCGCAGCCCTGCAATGTCTCGCTCGCCCTCACCGCCCGGCGGAGATCCCCTCTCAGAGGCTACTTGTGGCCTATTCCTCCACGCTGCCCAGACGTCTCGGAAGAGGTGGGTGTACCCACACTTTACCCCACCCGTGTACACCCGCTGGGTGGACAGAGTGCACGGGAGGTAAGAGCGGGCTGTGTGCGATGTAAGAACCAGGACCCGTTGTTGTTTCTACTGCCACGAAACGACGAAACTTTGGACTGTGCTAAACACGACACCACGGCAAGCGTCGTGTATTGTGGATGACACGTGTGTGTATTTAGCGAAGCGATACAAACTCTGAGTAATTCGATTATTTAAAATAATGATTAACTCGCGTGCGGCAAATTCACGCTCGCAAAATCTGTGCCTACGAACATCAATGTCAGGATTGACCAGACCCCAGTCCTCGTGACCCACCACGGCGCTCCTGTTAATGGTTACCAATTATTCTGTTATCAAATATAGTGGGGGTGGGGGGGGAGGTTAGTAATACGCTGCACGTGCCTGATGATTGGTTAACACGTCCCACGGGAAGTAACCGGAGCTGAGTGAAATTTTAAAGAAACGCAGCACACTCGCCAATGACACTCTGTGGCATTAAACGGGAAAATTAAATAGGGCGACGTTTCCAGCAAAGGCCCTTTTAATAGCACGTACATATTTTCATGATATTTACGTGCCCTTCATAGCACGTGAATATTTACGTGCTATGAAGGGCTATTGCCCGAAACGTCGCCTATTACATATTTTTTTGGACAACAATGTTGCGTGTTTTGATGTTGTTGTTGCTGCTGCTGCTGTTGTTGTTATCTGTGCTCGTGCACCATTGGCAAAAGCAGCATCACCAAAAAGTTCGCTTGAAATCAAGAGCGCTCTCTCTGTCTCTCTCTCTCTCTCCACGTCACGTGGGACGCGCGCTCTCCACCCCCCGCCAACCTCCCACCGTCTTTGTTGTCGTGGCACCGTCGTCGTCGGGGGCGCTTCCGATGATGTTTGAGCAGCAGCAGCAGCAGAAGCAACAGAGCAGCAGCAGGAGCAGCAGCAGAAGCAGCAGCAGAAGCAAACAGCAGCAGCAGCAGCAGTCTTACGACCACAAGCTCGGACTCTCGTGCTTTTGTCTTTAGCAAGGGGTGGGGTGGTGGGGGGGGGGGGTCGGACTTCTCAGGGGGTGCTGCTCACGGCTCTCTGTCGCCCTGAGGCCTCCTTGGTTTATCTGTCTGATCTGGGCTCTACGGTGGCTAGGAGATGTTTACTATCTCGCCTGGTAGACAGGAGGTCGTGGGTTCGATGCGGATATCTGACGCCTGTATATTTGGAGTGTGCGTGTTCTCCCCGTGGTAACGTGGATATTTCTCCAGGTCCTCCCGTTTTACTGGCCATATTTAGGAACATGCGTTTAGATAACGGTATTTGGCTCTCTTGTAAAATGCCACGTGATAAGCCACGTTGTTGATCTATCATTTGTGGCCAGGTCGCTTCTGAAAAAGAGCTATGTAGCTTAGTGGGCCTTAGCTGCTAACTCCACTCCTTCAGCTACTGCCCGTCGCCAGGCAGTGCAAGAGAGTGGGTGCAAAGGCAAAGACCCCCCAGCATCGTCTTAATATATTTATTGGGGCCAAGTGCTGTTAGCGAGTCGCACCTATGAAGGCGAGCGGCTCGACACACGAGGGGGTGGGTGGCCAGCACCACGCCTGGCGGCCTTTGTCTCCCCAGTGGCGATGTTACCACACCGCACCGCGTACTCGTTTAAGGCTGAGTCGACCTCGAGGAAGCCCAGACCTGGTTCATATATTCGTCACTGGTGTCGGCCGTGAGCGGGAATCGAGCTCGGTTCGACTGGTTCATAGCGCAGTGCGCTAACCGCTACGCCGCCGCTCCACACACACGCACACACACACGCACACACACAATCACACACACACAATCACACGCACACAATCACACACACACAATCACACACAATCACACACACAATCACACACAATCACAGACACGCGCACACACACAATCACACACACAATCACACACAATCACACACACAATCACACACAACCACACACACAATCACACACAATCACACACACAATCACATAAATCACACACACAATCACACACACAATCACACACACGCGCACACACACAATCACACACAACCACACTCGCCCTGCACTGCGGTCACTCAACATCGTCCTGCAAGCACATTCATGAAATATGCCGAGCGTGATTTTGTTATCAACACATTTATAAATGTATATGGTGTGAACGCGATCTTCACGCTGAGTTCCACTTTGCTCTATGCAGTTTAGCTTCGTGCTCCCATCTGTCTGTCTCGTGTTCACCTTCTGAAGCGCTCGCTCGTCACCGTGGCGTGCGCGATGAACACCATCACCACCACGTGACTTTTCTTTCGTGTTGTGCGCGGTGCATTTAGCGCCACAGCGCGTGGATTTGTAGCGTTTATTTTCATTTGTTTGCCGGTAACTTTGTGTATTTCATATCGGAATCGCCTCCAGTGCTGTTGCTGCTGGCGGCAATAAAAGTGGTTTAAAAGTATGTCTCTCTCTCTCTCGCTCTCAGTCCGTAACGGCAACAATACCTTTGGGTTATCTCGGGAAAGTCTCCCTGTGTCTCAAGAGTATTTGAGAGGAGAAGGAGGTGCGGCATTGTGTGGGATCATTTGGGCGAGTTCCTTCTCAACGCGTGGTGTATCTTCGCAAGAGGACGGACGCTCGACTATCCGGGGAAATAACCCCCCCCCTCCCCCATCACGCACACGAGGAGATAGAGTGCAAAGGTCCGCACAGATGGGTTCATCAATCCACTCGCTTTAATACTGTACTGCCATTTCCTGACCACCTCCCGAGTTCAGCAGCGCGTACGGCAGTTTCGCGCATCTCTATTTGATCCACCGACCTTCGACTCCACAGCGCTGGTTCAGGAGGCGTGCATCACCATTTCCGACCTGTTCTCTATAACTTCCCCTTTGTCTTGTGTGTGTCTCAATATATCTTCCATTGATGCTGGGTGTCTCTCTCGGTCTCAGCGTCTTTGTTTCTTCCCCGTGTGTCTCAGTCGTGTCGCAGTGAATCTCCCGATGACTCCCGCTCTCCCTCCATCTCTCCCGCTCTTCTTCTTCTTCACGGATGACGGAGAACAGACACGTGGGCGGACTCGCTGCTCCAGTTGGGAGTCAGAAGAAAGGAGGCCCTGCCGCGCTCTCAGTCGGAGTCGTCGTCGCCGCTCTCGGGGGGGCTGCTGCCCTCGGTGGAGCGCCCTGCCCCCCTGTCGCGGCTGCCCCGGGGCCCGGGCAGCTCCGCGGGCAGCAGCTGCTCTTTCCGCACGTGCGCCAACTCCGTGTCGCGCACCGAGGCTCCCTGCTGGCCGCCCTTCACGCGCTTCCATTTCATGCGCCGGTTCTGGAACCAAACCTTGACCTGCGGGAGAGCAAATGGGCGAATCATCGAGATCGAGATGCCACCGTCATGGCCAAAAGCCGTGGGATTGATGCCGCCATCACCACCTGACACCTCGCTACAATGTGTTCTGCACATGGGGGGGGGGCTATTCACGAGGAATAAAAAAAACAGGCCCTTTGTAGGGGCCTCCTGTGTGTGATGTCTAGAGCAATTTGACCCTCTCCCCACATCTCCCCGTCTGTGCGGCCCTGACCCCCTCGCTGCTACACACGAGAGACGCGGCTTACACATTTCAAGCTGTGCCCTACCAGTGTCCCACCATCTGATCTCAGGTCTTCGCCTTCCTCGCTGGACTCGTGGAGACCACTCCAACGCCTGTCTCAATAACCGGCCCTTCCGCCTTCCACCCAGCGCAACCATTACTCCCGACTCGTGCGGAACAACGCTCGCCTGCCCGTGGACTCTCGTCCACTAAGGCACTGCTCATCCTGTCTTGCCTTGACATTTCTAGCAGCCGTCTCTGACAGCTGTGCTCAAATTCATATCATGAACTTATTTTCTAACTGATAGGCATTTTTTTTTAAATCAACTTAGGTAGACCCTCGAGATTCTCATAGCATTACATAACAGAACAAAAATACGTGGGGATCCGTCTGTTTAGAGAACCGATTACAATAATAGAGAAAATGTATGGAGATAAATACATTGTAATTATAAGCCTATGTCTCCCGCCGATCTCAATATGCGTGGATGTTGAACTTCTTTCGCACCGCTGTGATGCACAGGGCCATCGCTGTCACAATTTTCAAACAGTTATTTGGAAGGAAGTAATAGGACCACTAGAAATCATTGAGGTGTCTATAAATGGATTGCATTTTGTCGTTTTTCTCCAGATGCATCCTGATCGGACTAGCAGCGCCACGTCACGAGGTCAATAATCAATTCTGAACTCCCGCAGTGAGCAGTGTAACACACTGTGTGAGGGAATGGGTGGCGGAAGGAGATAAACTAAACTTAACTACTAACTTTTTTTTTTAAACCAGGTAAGACCCACTGAGCTATATAGCTCTTTTTTCAGAAGCGACCTGGCCACAAATGACAGCTCAACGAAGTGGCTTATCACCTGGAAATGTATAGCAGCCAGATACTCTATAAACGCACGTTGATTCAAAATGTGGAAGGAAAATCGAAGGACCTGGAGAAAAATCCACGCGAGAAACGGGAAGAGAACATGCAAACTCCAAATATACCGGCGTCATGGACGGGATCGAACCCCACGACCTCTTGTATACCAGGCGAGATAGTTAACATCTCGCCACCGTAGAGAAACCAAGGTCAGTCAGAGAAACCAAGGGGCCTCGGGGCGACAGAGAGCCGTGAGCAGCACCTCCGAGATGTCCGAACTGTATAACATCAGCGGGCTACTTCCGAGATAACTTTCAGTGACTTTTTGCGTGCCTTACTCTATGACATTTTGAATTCTCCGAGCGAGAATTGACCAAGTAAAACGTTCGACCGGCAGAACAGCACGGGAAGGGGTGTGGAGTCAAGGGGACAATGCAGAGGTGGAGCAATGAAGCACGGTTCGTACGCACGTGCCACGCGTGTCTTGTGGCATCGCGATATCGCGAGAGGAGGCGATGGCTGTGGGGTGTGGGGGGGGGGTTGAGGAAATCGCTGACAGAGGCGGCTCTCCACCTGAGGACGAACTGTGGCAGATTCGTGCTTTCATTGCAATGAGTTCCGGTCGAACGGTGTTCATGTCAGCCGGTTGGCTAGACATTACTGTTATTCTGTCCATTCGTTCCATTTCATCATGGTTTATTGGCTGTTATTGTATTTTAGCGTTGATTTTACAAACGCAGAACCAGACAGCCCAGTCGCCAGACTACAATTAATAAATAATAGCCGCGAATTACTATGGTTGTTAACGTAAGGACAGCATCACATTATTCATTAACGAAATAGCGTTAACATCATACGCCTCTGTGTGCACAATTTGACGAAATATGCGACAACGCCAATGTTCATTTACAGCCCTCTATAGATCCACTGCTGGATGAAGGCCAAGCGGTGGTGGTCTTGGTGGCTGATTGACCACGCGCCATCACGCTGGTCAGAGCGGGCTTGGTGAGGCGATGGCAAAGGAGTGGTTCAGATATCACTCAGCGCTGATTTTCGCCACTGTCTGTAATCGAACTCTGGTGGCTGAGATTTTAGCGCAGTGTGCGTGCCAACCACTGCGCCACCGCTCTGGAACACGGAACGTCTGTTTCGGATTTTGACGAAAAAAAGCTGCCGGTGTTGCCATCACTCCACGTGGAAAATCGCAGTGGCCATGATTTTCTCTCAGCCATCTCGTATCGAACGTGAAGCACGCGCACTGCAGATAAGGGTCTCGCCACGACCCTGAGGGTCGTGCGAGTTATTCGACCATACTACACCACGCTGGTCAATGCGGGTTGAAGGCGGGGAGCATAGCTTGGTACTGACTCTCTCAATAGCCGGCGCGCGTGGGTGTGTATCCGTGGTTCTTGGCGGGGACCCACACCCCCCACGGACATACAGCCACTCACGCACCCATCACATTCACGCACACGTACGCGTTGGTGGGTGTGCGCATACGTGGGTCTCGGCACGAACCCACACCACCCACGCACCTTATACACCACCCACGCACCTTACACACCACCCACGCACTTTGCACACCACCTACGCACCTTATACACCACCCACGCACCTTACACATTAACGCACACCCAGCCACGCACCTTATACACCACCCACGCACCTTACACATTAACGCACACCCACCCACGCACCTTACACACCACCCACGCACCTTACACATTAACGCACACCCACCCACCCACGCACCTTACACACCACCCACGCACCTTACGCATTAACGCACATCCAGCCACGCACCTTATACACCACCTACGCACCTTACACATTAATGCACACCCACCCACGCACCTTATACACCGACAACCTTACACATTAACGCACACCCACCCACCTTATACACCACCCACGCACCTTACACATTAACGCACACCCAGCCACGCACCTTATACACCACCCACGCACCTTACACATTAACGCACACCCAGCCACGCACCTTATACACCACCCACGCAACTTACACATTAATGCACACCCACCCACGCAAAATACACCGACAACCTTACACATTAACGCACACCCAGCCACGCACCTTATACACCACCCACGCACCTTACACATTAACACACACCCACCCACGCACCTTATACACCACCCACGGACCTTACACATTAACGCACACCCAGCCACGCACCTTATACACCACCCACGCACCTTACACATAAACGCACACCCAGCCACGCACGCACGTGCTTGGGGGCGGGCGGGCGAGGAGGTTGGCACGCACCTGCCGCTCGGTGAGGTCGAGGTTGACCGCGATCTCGTATCGGCGCAGCCTCGTCAGGTAGTTGTGGTGAGCGAACTCGGCCTCCAGCTCGCGGATCTGCTCCTTGGTGAAGGCCGTGCGCTCCTTGCGGGGTCGGGACCCCGACGCTTCGCTGCGAGGGCACGGCTCCGACTCCCCCGGGCTGGCGTCTAGCGCGCCGCGCGCGAGTTCATCGACGGTCACAGTTGGACGCATTGCGCGCTGACGCCGCGTCGACGGTGGTGCACAAAGCAGGCTTGACGACGTTTCGGGCGATGGCCCTTCTTCATAGCACATGAAGAAGGGCCACATAGGGGGACATTTCCAGCAGTCGATTAACAAAGGGATGTTACACGGTTTAAGCGCCGGAGCTGATTTAACAGCGAATATGCGAACACTTGTCCAGGGAGGACACGCGGACATAGACGCATACGTTTAAATGCAATCAAAAAGACAAAGATCCCCCGTATATCTTTTAACAGACTGTTAAAAGACAAGTGCTGTTAGCGAACACGTATGAAGGCCGGCACGGCGCACGTAGGGGGTGGGTGGTCAACACCACGCCCGGCCGCCTTTGTCTTCCCAGTGTTGATGTTTACAGACCACACGAAGTACTCATTTAAGGATGATTCGACCTATTTGAGGCCCAGGACCGGTTCATATATTCGCAACTGTTATATTGGTCGCCAGGTTTGTAGCATAGTGTGCTAACTACTACGCAACATCTCCCCAAACAAGTATACAAAATACAAACGCATACAGGCACATGTATACAATATTAATACAGACACAGATGTACACACACGCATTCATGAACTTACACAAAGACGAACACACGTAGGCGCGCAGACAGCATACACATACGAGTGTGTGTGTGCGCGTGTGTATATTTTGTATATATACGTACATACATATGCGTTTACAAATGAAAAAAAAAAGAACCCTAAATAACACGTGATGCTGCCCGAAACATCGCCAATGATGTTTCCCTTGAAGTCAGCATTCTTGACGACCGTGTTGAGTTGTTGTTGTTGTTTGTATGTGCATCACTGCCAACGCACCGGCAGCATCACCAAATAATGTCTACAAAAGCGTTTGTAAAATCGAGAGGACGACTGTAAGACTGTATCCCTCTTCAAACATTTATACCTAGAAAACAAATATCCACGCACGTGTTTTAATTGTAATTGAGGTGAATGCACCGAATGAGTTGGAATAATGAAAAGGTGTTTACACTCGAGCACGTGGAGCGTTTTTATCGTCGTGGATTGAAAGACGGTGACTGAGACACTTCGTACACCCTGCTTGGCTTCTACGAATGAGACCTTCGCATTGTCCGTAAATACGAATAAATAAATACGCACACAGACAGAGCATTAAACACACCCAAGTTTAAACGCAGGACAAAATTCTATCTCGCCATATGCGTCATCAGCACCGACGTATGACGTTACCACGGAAGAGAGGGACAGGGCACGGGGGTATCAATGAAGGGGTCAATGCACATTTATACGATCGATCGGTCTCATCGACTCACGAACGGATCTCAGGAACGGAATCCGTTCGTAAGTTGGGGACTGCCCCGTACTCTGTCTGCTATGAAGAAGGGCTCTTTCCGGAAACGCCAGCCTATTACGTACAGTATATGCATCGAATTTGATAAGACGAAGCCCATGGCTCGTTCAGTAATCGCTCACAATTGATGTTCGCCGCGACTTGGAATATAACTAAGTTTACTGGAGTCATATTGCAATGCGCAAACCACAGCGCCACCGCTCTATTGAAGTATTATTTACACCGGCACATTGTACTGTGTAACATTGAGTAGGCACAGGACGGGACTACCTTTGCAGATGACGTAACGGGGTCTTTAACGTCTGCATTAAAGTCTAAGTGATTTGCTGCTCGGCTCCTGTGTACAGTGACGAGCCAGTGGCGGAAATTCCACATTCCTATGGCGGGGGCGAACAGGGCTTTTGACGTGTGTGGTTATTATGTTATAATCGACGTGTATTTGACAGCAGACGGCAGACGCCTGCGTAAACGCGTCTCGGGGATTGTCGGCCGTGACAGGGTACACATACAGGCATTTAGCTGATATAGTGGTGCAGGGCAGGGACATGCGAGGCAGTCAATGGCACCTCAACCTTTGCCGTGCAAGCATCTCGCGGACAAACACAAAGATCCCCCCGGAAAGCCTTAATAGACTGTTGGGGCAAATGGTGCCGTTAGCGAGCCCCTATGAAGACCGGCACGACACACGAGGGGGTGTGTGGCCAGCACCACGCCCGGCCGCCTTTGTCTCGCCAGTGGTGATGTTTACACATCGCATCAGGTACTCATTTGATGCTGAGTCAACCTAGGGGAGGCCCAGGACCGGTATCAGATAACCGTCACTGGTGTTGGCCTTGACTTAAAGCTTTCGTGACTGCAGGAATTCCTATTCTTGGGTCTTTCGGTAAAGTCACCTAGATAGGTTCAAAGAAAATAACAAAAAAAACTACGACGTTTCGATCGCAACACAAGCGGTCGTCATCAGGAAAAGGGGCTTTGCTTCTAAAGGCAAACTGTTTATAAAGGTTTAAAATGGGCGTAGCCCAAATGTCAGCAGCATGGGCGGGGCAGCTAATGTTAATGTGAGTGGTGGGCAGCGACCGCGATTGGCGGTGGGTTTCCACCAATGAAGGGGCTGACAGGTAAAAATTAGCATGTTAATGTAAGATCGGTGAGTGGCCTCCACGGCGAATGCGCTGAGGTGGCTATGTTAATGTAAGAGATTAGCATTTTAATGTAAAATGGCAGAGCCACCGTCACGTCAAGGTAAGGCGCGCGAAGGTGGCTGTGTTAGTGTGAGAAATTTAACCTGTTAATGTAAAATCGGAGAGCCGAAAATAACAACATCGGAAGGTGGCATGATGGGAACATCACAGCCAGTTATGACTTAAACTGGTTGATAACGTACTTCCAATGATTGCTCAGTTTGTACCCATATTTTAGGTTCAAATTGTGTCTGTATATATGGATGGCTTCATGAACAAATATTTGTCGATAGCCAGTGGGTATGCAAAGAACCTTTGTCTTAGATAAATCAATATCGTGTGAGCCCACCGCAATAAAACAATGATCAGCCACGGCCAAGGTATTGGTCCTACCGTGTTTCAGATCTGCCTTGTGTTCACGAACACGGTCCGAGACATGTCGCTTAGTTTCCCCAATGTAACTACTGCCGCAGACACAGCTTAGTTTGTAGACGCCGGGATATTGCATGTCAGGGATCACATCCTTCACAGATGGGATCAGTTCACGAATTGTATTGACTGTTAAATCGGACCTGGATCTTGTGTTTGCTCATGATTTTTGAAATATTTTTGGTGCCCCTGTTATGGATGGCAAGGTTATGGTTTTGATTGGGTCCTCAGATGGTTCTTTCTCAACGGTTGGGGTGATAGCTTTACGCATTGTGTAGTCTGAATATCCATTCATCTTGAGAGCTTGGTGTACGTGTTCCAGTTCACTGGCTAGGTGATGATGGTCGGAAATACATCGAGTGTAGAGTTTTGATGCGGGAATTTTTCTGGGATGGATGGTGGTGGGAGTCAGGTTTTAGGTAGGCATCTGTATGGGTGGCTTTCCTGTAGACAGAGTTTCCCATTGAGCCATCTGGTCTCTTTCAATTAAAACATCCAATAATGGTAGCTTGCCATCCTTTTCCACCTCCATGGTGAATTTGATGGCTGGGTGTATGGAATTTATGTTGTTGAGGAATTGGTTCAGAGCTGGTCGGCCATGTGGCCAATTGAAAGGATAATGGCGACCCAAATATTATTTCCCGGACGAATGCAGCATGATCCTAAACATACATGTCATTAAAATCCATCATAAAAGGCTGATAATGACATAATTTTAACGGATAGTTTATAACATTTGAGTTGGTGGCCTAAATGATGAAAAGGCCGCACATTCAGTTATTTTGAGCTGGTGGTCAGGATAATGCTGAGAGTTTTTTGACATGCAATGCTACGCACTCATTGCACAATGTACCCCTCCGTGCCTCAATCTATGTAGCACATTTAGAGACCGCTACTGTGACATCCATCGAAATCCGTCGTCATCGCCAATGTGTGCTCATAATATCTCGATATCTACATCGGATCAAACCTCGCGACCGTCTTGCGACTCGTGCGTGGGCCACCCCTAAATTCTGCATCCTTCCGCTCCTCCCGCTGTGAAAAACATCGACGCTGCTCCGTGCAGCTGTGTTGAGGCCCTAAGTTGCCTCCACCTCTCCCTCTCCGCATCTCCTTGACCCTCTGCTCACGTTACTCCGTTTCTTTTCCATCGTTTTTCCCAATCTTCCTCTGCTCTCTCGCTTCCCTTTTGCCGTTCCTTTCCCAGACAATTACATCCTTGACCCTCCTGTAAACCCCTTCCCGTGGCGTGCCACGGCTAGAAAGTTGCGAGTAGCAATATTTGCACAAAACGGCACGGGCATACGCGTAAAATAACTTCACGGCTCACGGAATTTCTCCAGGATAAATACAGATTCTGATTCACACACGCACAGAGACATGTCTACATACATACACAGTATGCACCCACAAAGCATATATGCATCGACATATGCCTACACAAATACAAAAACGTAAAAATACACATATACACACGCAGACACATATCTTCACACAAATAAATAAATAAAGATACACACATACGTACGTGCACACATACATACACACACATACATAGTGTGTATATATATACAAATACACGCATACATCCGATGTTTGTGTCTCATTCGGTCCGAACGTGGTTACATATATATAGGACTTGATTTCTGGAAGATGAAACGAAAACATTATAAGGTCGCACTCATTACACAAAAAGGGCTCGCCACAAATGAACCACAATAGCTTGCTGAGCTCGTCAAGGGGCATGAACCATCACGCCATCTCCGCTCGTGATCCTCGCAGCAGCGGCTTATGGCGAACCATCGAAGAAAGACGGTGGTCACCGCATCGCGCGGCGCTTTCGGATGCGCTTCCGCGACCGTCTGGAACGCTCTTCCTTCCGATATTAGGAAGACACTGGAGCTACGCACTTTCAAACATAGATTGGAAATAGTTACTTTAGAACTGATTTTTTTTGTGTTTAGTTTGTTGTCCTTCCCCCTCCACCTCTGATTAGCACGGTGTGGCCACGTACGGTGCGAAAGAAGTTCAACATAATACAAACTCGGTTTACAGGACTTGATTGATTCAAATAGAGGTACTCCGCCAATTGCATCTGCTGCATAGCAAATAGAGAGGACAGAGAGATGGAGTGGATAGTGAGAGTTTTTACTTTTAAGGTAGTGGCATATGTAAACGTTTCTATGTTGTTTTTGCTTGTGCACTAGTACCAACGCAGTGTATAGTTGCAGAGGACTTTATTAAAAGAGAGGAACTCACCTAGTTGTATAGTACTTGGTTGCTAGAATAGAGGAACTCACCTAGTTGTATAGTACTTGGTTGATATAAGAGAGGAACTCACCTAGTTGTATAGTACTTGGTTGCTAGAAGAGATGAACTCACCTAGTTGTATAGTACTTGGTTGATATAAGAGAGGAACTCACCTAGTTGTATAGTACTTGGTTGATAGAAGAGATGAACTCACCTAGTTGTATAGTACTTGGTTGATAGAAGAGAGGAACTCACCTAGTTGTATAGTACTTGGTTGATATAAGAGAGGAACTCACCTAGTTGTATAGTACTTGGTTGATAGAAGATATGAACTCACCTAGTTGTATAGTACTTGGTTGATAGAAGAGAGGAACTCACCTAGTTGTATAGTACTTGGTTGATATAAGAGAGGAACTCACCTAGTTGTATAGTACTTGGTTGCTATAAGAGAGGAACTCACCTAGTTGTATAGTACTTGGTTGATATAAGAGAGGAACTCACCTAGTTGTATAGTACTTGGTTGATATAAGAGAAGAACTCACCTAGTTGTATAGTACTTGGTTGCTATAAGAGAGGAACTCACCTAGTTGTATAGTACTTGGTTGATATAAGAGATGAACTCACCTAGTTGTATAGTACTTGGTTGATATAAGAGAGGAACTCACCTAGTTGTATAGTACTTGGTTGCTATAAGAGATGAACTCACCTAGTTGTATAGTACTTGGTTGATATAAGAGAGGAACTCACCTAGTTGTATAGTACTTGGTTGCTAGAAGAGAAGAACTCACCTAGTTGTATAGTACTTGGTTGCTAGAAGAGAGGAACTCACCTAGTTGTATAGTACTTGGTTGATATAAGAGAGGAACTCACCTAGTTGTATAGTACTTGGTTGATATAAGAGAGGAACTCACCTAGTTGTATAGTACTTGGTTGATAGAAGAGAAGAACTCACCTAGTTGTATAGTACTTGGTTGATATAAGAGAGGAACTCACCTAGTTGTATAGTACTTGGTTGATATAAGAGATGAACTCACCTAGTTGTATAGTACTTGGTTGCTAGAAGAGATGAACTCACCTAGTTGTATAGTACTTGGTTGATATTAGAGATGAACTCACCTAGTTGTATAGTACTTGGTTGCTAGAAGAGATGAACTCACCTAGTTGTATAGTACTTGGTTGATATAAGAGAGGAACTCACCTAGTTGTATAGTACTTGGTTGCTATAAGAGAGGAACTCACCTAGTTGTATAGTACTTGGTTGCTAGAAGAGAGGAACTCACCTAGTTGTATAGTACTTGGTTGTTATAAGAGAAGAACTCACCTAGTTGTATAGTACTTGGTTGCTAGAAGAGAGGAACTCACCTAGTTGTATAGTACTTGGTTGATAGAAGAGATGAACTCACCTAGTTGTATAGTACTTGGTTGATAGAAGAGAGGAACTCACCTAGTTGTATAGTACTTGGTTGATATAAGAGAGGAACTCACCTAGTTGTATCGTACTTGGTTGCTATGAGAGAGGAACTCACCTAGTTGTATAGTACTTGGTTGATAGAAGAGAGGAACTCACCTAGTTGTATAGTACTTGGTTGATAGAAGGGAGGAACTCACCTAGTTGTATCGTACTTGGTTGATATAAGAGAGGAACTCACCTAGTTGTATAGTACTTGGTTGATAGAAGAGAGGAACTCACCTAGTTGTATCGTACTTGGTTGATATAAGAGAGGAACTCACCTAGTTGTATAGTACTTGGTTGATAGAAGAGAGGAACTCACCTAGTTGTATAGTACTTGGTTGATATAAGAAAAGAACTCACGTAGTTGTATAGAACTTGGTTGATAGAAGGGAGGAACTCACCTAGTTGTATAGTACTTGGTTGCTATGAGAGAGGAACTCACCTAGTTGTATAGTACTTGGTTGATATAAGAGAGGAACTCACCTAGTTGTATATTACTTGGTTGATAGAAGGGAGGAACTCACCTAGTTGTATCGTACTTTGTTGATAGAATAGAGGAACTCACCTAGTTGTATAGTACTTGGTTGATATAAGAGAGGAACTCACCTAGTTGTATAGTACTTGGTTGCTATAAGAGAGGAACTCACCTAGTTGTATAGTACTTGGTTGATAGAATAGAGGAACTCACCTAGTTGTATAGTACTTGGTTGCTATGAGAGAGGAACTCACCTAGTTGTATAGAACTTGGTTGATAGACTAGAGGAACTCACCTAGTTGTATAGTACTTGGTTGCTAGAAGAGAGGAACTCACCTAGTTGTATCGTACTTGGTTGATAGAATAGAGGAACTCACCTAGTTGTATAGTACTTGGTTGCTAGAAGAGAGGAACTCACCTAGTTGTATAGTACTTGGTTGCTAGAAGAAAGGGACTCGATAGTCGAGGACGTGAGTGACGTAAGAGAGGAACTCACCGCGGACAGAAGACTCCACCACGGGCTTCCTCCTGCCGGCAGTTTTCTTCCCGCACTCAGACGCGTTCGGCTGCTGCTGCTGCTGCGGCTCCTGCTGCTGCTGCTGCTGTTGCTGCTGCTGTTGCTGCTGTTGCTGTGGCTCCAGGCTGCAGGCAGCCAGGCGCGGGGAGGTCTCCCCCGCTGAGGCTGCGCTCGTGGGAGAGGAGACCGCCTGCTCAGCGGCAGGGGCGACCGCGTGCAGAGTGGACGCAGCCGCGAAGTGCGACGACGCCTGACGCAGCTGATGCTGCTGCTGATGCTGCTGCTGCTGATGCTGCTGATGATGATGATGCCACACGGACAATTGCTGCTGCTGCTGCTGTTGCTGCTGCTGTTGTTGTTGCGGATGATGGCTGTGATGGTGTTGTTGGTGGTGGCTTTCTTGTTGGTGCTGCTGCTGGTGGTGGTGATGGTGCTGGCTGCTGCTGCTGCTGTTGCTGCTGCTCTGATGATGGTGGTGGTGGTGGAGCTGGTGGTGATGGTTGCTGTGGTGGTGGTGGTGGTGATTGTGTCCGTTCGTCCGGGCCGTGAGTCCTGCGCCCTCGCTGGCTACAAACCCCGAGGACACGAGGCACGAGGCGGCGATGTCGGGGAAGGGCACTCGCTCTAGGGCCCCGCGGCCGTGCAGGGCCACGGGTGGGAAGTGATGAAGCCCTGGCGGTGGCGGGACACCGCTGTGCGACTGGTTCATGTAGCTGAACACGGCGTGATCCATGGCCCGATCTCTCCCAGCAAACCAAAACAACAACAACAAGGGCCAAACCAAACAGAAATAACAAACGTAAAAAAAATATATATGAAACCGCGTCTCCAGTCCCCCACGTTTAACAATCCTCCAAGCGAGCAATCATTCGAGATAGAGGTCACTCAGTCACTCTCTCTATATATAGTGACAGACTCGCACGCGCACGTGGACGCTGCTGCTGCTGCTGCCTCTGCTGCCAATACTGCGCTTCTCTGTGAAGCGGTGGCAGCAAGTCGTAGCAGGAAGGAACCCCACGTCAATGAGAGTGATCCTCTCCCCTGCCCGTCCCTCCTTCAAGACGGCCGCGTAGGAGGAACAGGAGGAGGAGAAGGAGGAGGGAATGCGATCCTCCTGTTATAAATAGAGAGTAACGAGAGAGGGGCGGTCTGAGGGCGAACAGCACCACCATCATCACCACACGCGTCTTTTCCAAGCCGCGCTGTGGAGCGGGGAGATGCAATTAAGCCCCCGAACGAGACAGATCCTGATTCACAATTGTTGCCGTCGTTGGGTTCGAATTGCGTCAACAATTTGTGTCGTGAAACCCTCCTCCACCCGACACAGCCAACGAATCAAGGTGTCACAAACGACGTGGCCACATGTGGTGACTGCTTCAGCGTCGCCGCCGGTCGCGTCGTTGTTGGAGAGTTGTCTCACGACACTGACATGGCTGACGACGCTTCGCTGAGCTGACGGTTGCAGCCAAAATAAATCACCTCTGAATCGTAATATCGGTCGCGAAAGCCGACCGCGCTTAAGAAAAAAAGAGACGGATCCTCTACGAGAAACAGACTCGCGGGTTATATGCAAAGTAGTGCGCGGGGCGGGGCAGATCTAATTATAGGGGTTAGTGGTGTGGGGGGAGAAGGGGGGGAACCATGCTTTCAGTCGAGGATGTGGGTGCTTCCACGTGCTTGATTGTCAAACGCGTTGTGTTTGGGAGCCGTGGCGCAACGGGGAGCGCGCGGCGCTACGAACCCGGCAGAGCCGAGTTCGATTCCAGCGCTCACGGCCAACACCGGTGACGATTATCTGAACATGCTCCTGCGCTTCTCCTAGGTCGACTGAGCCTCAAATGAGTAACTGGTGCGCTGTGTAAACATCGCTTCTCGGGAGATAAAGACGGCCGGGCGTGGTTGCTGGCCACCCACCCCCCCCTCGTGTGCCGTGTCGGCCTTCATCGGTGCTCGCTAACAGCACTTGCCCCAACAGCCTGGTAAGGCTATACGGGGGATATTTGTCTTTGATGTGTGTTTTTTTACTCGAGTGTGTGTACACGTGTATGTGTGTATCAATACCTCACGTGGAGGATGCACACACGCACGTGTGTATGTGTGCATTCAAGCCCTTGCGCCTACACGTGTGTGTGTGTATGTGTATCTCGAGTTCTAATGCGTATGTGTAGCCACACCCGTGCGTTAACGTGGATGTGTCACGCGTTGGCTACGTACGGAGCGAAAGAAGTTCAACATATATTTACATACGTGTGTGTGGAATTATAGCTATATCCGTGTATATATGTAAACCCGTGTGTGCACACCGACCAGTTGATGTGTACGTTTCGTTGCACGTGTAATGTTTGCATCTGTAGCGTTGTGTGTCTGTGTTTATTGAGTATGCGAGTTCGACTCCCACTCACGACCCACGACAGCCTTAAGATCAGTACCGTGTGTGTAAAAACCACCACTCGGGGAAACAAATGCGGCCTGGCGTGGTGCTCGCCATACCAACCACTTCTGTGTTGTGTTGGACCTTCATAGGTGCTCGCTATCAGCACTGGCCCCATCTTTCATAGGTGGTCGCTATCAGCACTTGCCCCAACAACCTGGTAAGGATATATAGAGGGATCTTTGGCTTTGTCTGTATGTACGTATATGTGTATGTACCTGTATATCCGACCGGAGCGGTAGTGTAGCGGTTAGCGCTACGCTGCGCTACGAACCCGGCGACCCGACTTCGATTCCCGCTCACGGCCAACACCGGTGACGATTATCTGAACCGGTCCTGGGCCTCCCCTAGGTCGACTCAGCCTCAAATGAGTACCTTGTGCGGTATGTAAACATCGCCACTGGGGAGACTAAGACGGCCGGGCATGGTGCTGACTACCCACCCCCCTTTGTGTGCCGTGCCGGCCTTCATAGGTACTGTTCGCTAACAGCACTTGCCCCAACAGTCTGTTAAGACTATACGGGGGATCTTTATCGTTGTATATATGTGTGTGGGTGTCGGGGGTGGGGTGGAGGACTCGTGCTGTGACGAGTCACCTGCTGTTGTCCATCAGTCGTGGCCGGGCAGCTCCAGACCCAATTATTGTCGGTATATTTTTTATGAGGGTGTGGTAGAGAAAGAGGCGTCGACTCTTCTTCCCGCAGAGCGCGGGAGGAAGAGTCGACGCAGAGGCGCGCCTTTCGCGCCACCTTTCCAAGCGAAAGCCTCGGCAGCGGTTTCATTCGATAGCCTCGCGACTCGTGCAAAGCAAGCCCCTCGCCAATCCACTGCTGGTTTGAAGGTCCACCTCCCCACGCCGTCGCTCGTGTTGGGATGCACGCGTGTTCGCGCGAGTGCATCTCCTGCCCGTGAGCCGGTAGTGTGGCGGTTAGTGTAGCTGCGCTACTTCGAAACCCGGGAGAACCGAGTTTGATTCCTGCTCACGGCCAATGTCAGTGACTCACCGGTGCTGGGCCTTCTCTAGGTCGACTCAGCCTCAAATGAGCACATGGTGCGGTGTGTAAACATCGCCACTAGGGAATACAAAGGCGACCGGGCGTGGTGCTGGCCCACCCAACAATCTCGTGTGCCGTGCCGTTCTTCACGGGTGCTCGCTAACAGCACTTGTCCCAACAGTCTGTTAAGGCTAAACGGGGGATTTGTGTCGGTGTGATGTGTGAACATGTGTCTCTTGGGGTCATATACGTGTGCGTGTGTGTACGTGTGTAGAGATGTGTATGAAGATTTGTCTCTAGGCCATGTACAAATGTGTGATGTCCTGATATATGTGTGTGTGTGTACGAGTGAAAGCGTGTATGTATGGACAGTGGTCATGTAATGCTTAGCGCACTGGGCCATGAACCCAGATATCTCAGATTGAGTCTGCTCACTACCAGCATCAGTTTGGTTAATATTTGGACCTGTCCTGGGCCTCCCCTAGGCTGACGACTCAGCTCGTAAATAAGTATTTGGTTTGGTGTATAAAACATCAGTACTTGAGGAGACAAAGGCGGTCGGGTAATGCCCCCCACTCCCTCTCCACCTGCGCCGTTCCGACAACTATAAGTGCTCACTAACAGTACTTGCCCCAAGACGTATCTAGAGGCTATACGGGGGGCCTACTGGACATATGTGAAAAAAAAAGAGCTTCATAACTCATAGGATTCTATCCAATCTAAACGAAAGACAAAGATTTTGATTCTGACTTTTGTCTTTGTGGGATGTGCGGCCTTTGCGCACATCCCAACACGGAGGCGCCACTCTTCTTCAAAGCGGCATCACACCACCACCCCCCCTCTCCCCCCATCGCGAGGCCGGCCTGTCACTAATCGGGAATTCCGTGCGTAATCCCGCTCTCCGGGATGACTCGGAGCGTGCCTGGATGCTGACCGAGCCAGGCGGAGAAAGATGACACCTCCTCGCGGAAGATCCGTGCAAAAGCCTCCTCTACCCGGTGGGGGTGGGGTGGGCACGTACACGAGTTGGTTCCGCACGGGATCCGTGCGCGCGACTTCGATTTCTGCGGCGGTTACACAGAAACAGCCTTGGTCCCTCACCGGGAATGCTGTATGTCACGTGCATACCAATGTCTGTGTGTGTGTGTGTGGTGAAGTAAACATAGCCTGTTGGCTTTCAGACCAAACTCTGGCAGAGAATCAGAAGGCCGAACCGGACCAGAGTATGTGCTTGCTTAAAGAAAATGCTCCTTGGTTATATTTGTATGGAAAGCCAATATGTAGGTCGGAATTCTTTCGCACCGTACGTAGCCAACCGTGCTAATCGGGTGTGCGGGGGAAGGACAACAAACTAAACACAAAAAGCAGTTCTAAAGAAATTAGTTGTCAATCTAGACTTCAACATACGTCACAAATATATATATATTTTTAATTCACATGCATGTGGAGAGACAGCGTGGAGTTGATAATCCATCGAAGATGCGGCACAGGAACGCATCATGAGTTTGCGTGGTGAAGTATGGTCGAAATAAAACCCCATCACGACCCGCACGGCGTGGAGAGGCCGTAATCCAGCAGTGGATTGATAAAGGGCTGTACGTGTGCACGTGACCATAAGGTTACACTTTTTTTGTTTTCAATAACGAAGCTTCAAACTCGTGCCAGACAGCCCACGTGGGACGCACGGGCTTGTATCCATTAAAGATCAGATATACTAGCAGCTTTGCGCCCGTGACACAGGGGAGTACAGAAGAGTCAATAATTTAATTAATGGCAATAGAAGAAGGAACGGGAAAAGGAAGATAAATAATGGGAAATTGGTGGAAAATGAATGGGGAAACGGGAGCAGAGTGTCAGGAGAGATGAGGATAGAGAGCACGAGGCTGTACAAGGACCTCGACACCGCACGGTGCAGCGTCTGTTTTCGCAGCGGGTGGGAAGCGAGGATGGATTCAGAGTGGGGGTGGCCACGCAGAAGTCACGTGATTTACGGGAGGCTTGAGCTGATTTCGATGTTTTGTATTCCCACGACGCGTGCGTACGTGGCCTGCATCATCATCATCACCCTCTAAATACAGCCACGGATATGTTGACGGATATTGTTCCTAATTTCGCTTGTGACTCGAGAACCAAAAGTAGTAGCACAGGGATGCGCCAAAACACCATAAATCAACATCACACACAACACACACACAACAGACACACACAACACACACCACACACAACACACACACAGACACAACACACACAACACACACACAACACACACACAACGCACACAACACACACACAGACACAACACACACG